GGCCCCACCAGTGGACACAAGGAGTGGGGCCCATGCCTGACCCCTCTCCCCTTTGTTTTCCAGATCTCAGAACTGGAAGGAAACCTGCAAACACTGAGGAATTCCAATTCTACTTAGCAGGAATCTTTCCTTGACCAGACAATAACTAACCCCTCCCATTGTCCTCCCTCCCGTCCTCAATATTTCACCCCACCCCCTACCAGCCTGGGGACAGGTGCCCCGACTCCCCCACCCCTCTGCCCCACCTCCCCCAGCTTCAGGGACCAGAGGGCCCATATCACAGGCCCCATTATGGTGGCCCCGGGCAGACAGGTGGCTGGAAGGATGGCCTCCTTCTTACTTCATGGGGCACAGAGGCCGAGGGATGCTGAGGGCTGGCCTGGGTGGTGGATGGACACAAGGATCTGCAGACCAAACTGCCAGACTTTACAACCTCCAGCCTTTGTCTCTGGACTGGAATGGGGCTGAGGGCTCTCCCAGCATTTCACCACCTGGAGGCTGCTCCCTGCCCACAGGCTCCTTGACTTGAGATTCTACCTTTTTGGCCCCTCCCCTCCCCCATCATTGTGCTGTCTCTGTTTCATTCTGATCTCCTGGAAGGGGTTGCCTCCACACCTTCTCCCATTCCTGTTCCCCTCCCAGGAGGGATTGAGTCCACCCCAGAGCCTGGAGGCTGGGCCTGGCCCTGCACTGATGTCTCATGTATCCTTCAGGAAAAGGGGAGTAAGAGTAGGGAGAGGGGGGCAGAAGCCCTCAGTTTCTCCTTGTGCCTCCCACCTGCCCTTCCCTGGTGCCAAATAGCCATAACCTCTTCCTGGAACTGTTCTGTGGCCTCTCGGGTCGTTTCCTGTCCAACCCTGGGAATTCTGGGGATGAGAGGAAATCAGCTTGTAGGGGGCTGGCTGCAGAGACCTGGTCTTAGGCAAGAGAAGCATTACTTACTGAGAGCCAGGCCCTGCCCTGCCCAGGGCCACACATGGAAGCCTTGTACTAACACCAGAGATTCAGCCTCACCCACCCACACCCACACCCACACCCTTCCAATGTTTTGACTGGAGGGCAACATTTTACTAAACTTTTTGGAGACCAGGGCTGCCCTGCTGACAGCCTGCTTTCTAAGTGAAATTGACTCGTTTCCTCACTTTAACCCCAAATTGGGGCTTGGACCAAGGGAGGTGAGGACCCTCTCAGGTCCCCCTCCCCTTTCAGAATCCATCTCTCATTTTGTCCCTCCCTGATGCCCCTGCCCCAGCCTGGGTTTTTGGCTTCTCCTCATCCCCTATAAATAGACCATGCCATCTATCAGTATTTCTTCCCTCTCCCCTCCCTGTCTCCAGACGTTTCCCTACCCCTGAAAGAGCTGGCTGTCTCAGTGCCCGGCCCATGCACTTCACCTACGCCCTCGCAGACGGAGGGGGCGGGGCCAGGCAGGTGGGGCCGCAGGCGCTTCTGGTTGCTCTGGCCAGTGTCGGTCCCCATCCCGCCCTCTGCAGGACTGCGTCTCTGTATATAATATATATATGTATGTATTGTTTCCGGTTTTGTACGGACCATGCCCTCTGTCAGGTCGTCCCCATAAACGCAGCCCCCAGAGCCTCGCTGCCTGGTTTCTTGATTCACGGGAGGGCGGTGGAGGGAGGACAGGGATGCCAGTCTTGCCCAGTGGTCTCCCACCACCAGTGCTTCTCTGTTCCAAGTACCTTTCCAAGGAAAGCCCTGGTTCCCAGGCACGCCCTCTCTGCTACTGCCCCATCAGCACCCATGCTTTTTTATCCATTCCAACTGGGCAAAGCTGGGTTTCTAGAGAGTTCCTTAGGTGCATCCCATTCCTCTTTCACAAGGCGCTGATGGAATTCCAGGATGGGTTAGATAGGGTCAGATGAACCCCAAGTCCCTCCCTGGAGAAATCCTCTAGCGTGATGGGGATACCCAGCCCCTGCTCTCACAAGGCACCCTGAAGAATCTGAGGTTTCCAGGAGGTGGCAGCTGGGGGTGGGAGGTGACATGTCAGAGCAGTTTTGACCCCAGGGTCCTAGAGAACACCTCTGGGGGGCCACTAGAGAGGCCTTGAATAGTCTAAGCCCCCTGCTCTGTGCCAGCAGGTCTGGTTGCTAACTCCTCAGCTCTAATATGAATGGGCCTGGGAGTCCAAATGCCAGGTTTCCAGGGACCAACCTTGGCGAAGTCCCAAAGAGGTGAGATCAGGGGGAAGAGGGCCGGACTTGGCCATTTCCAGTGGCAGCCCCTCCTTGCTCGGGGCACTGGTGTGTGTGTGTGAAAACTAAAGCACAAGGCACTGGTGTTCAGTGGCCTGACCCCCCAAGGAGAGTCTCACATTTCCCTTTGCCCTACGAAGTGCAAGTTCCAACATCAGGGCCCTTCAAGGTCACCTTGGTGGGTCCGGGACGCCTGAGAGAGTGGCCGCAGTGGTAGTCTGCCCCTGAAGCACCCTTGCCGATGGCTCTATCACACACGTTTCACTCATGTCAAGCCACATCCTGGCTTCCCATAGCTTGCCTTCTCAGACCTCCTAGTTCACCTCAGGACCACACAGGACCCATCCAGTCCTGCCACCCACCCGGGGGTCACCTGGAAACCTGGGGGTGACGACCATGCCTCTCAAGGCATCATCTCCAAGTGGACCATTCTTGGAACTCTTCTGCAAGGTCTCTAGGTGGCTGAATCCCAGGGTCAAACCACAAGGTCATAGGTGCTGGCTCCAGAGTTGGAGGTCACTGGGGCCCTGCTCAGGAAACAGCCAAGAAGTGAAGCACTGGGCCTCCCTGAGTGGGGAGGGAGACATGGGGTTGCGCGTCCAGGGTGCGATCCTGCTGCTCATCTGTCCTGGGTCCTAGGGGAGGGGCCTGCACATGGTATGTTCCAAAAGGTGGGCCAAGTAGTCCCCCCACCCCATGTCTAAGCTGAGAGTGGTGTGTGGCTGAGGGTGCTGTGTGTGGCTTTGTTGAGAGAGATTCTCAGGCCTGAGATGTGACTTGCCCATGAGCTACGTCCATGTTTGGGGCTATGTGCCAAGGGGCTATGGGCAGGCCTATATGAGGCTTATTGCCTCAGCCCACCCTGTCACCTGCCCAGTCTTAGGAGGTTGGGTAGTTTGGGGGCAACTCCAACACTTGCCATTGGGGAGGGAAATCAGATAAAGGTTTTAACTCCCAGAAGCGTAGGCATCACTAGCAATAGGGGTCCTCCCAGGTCCCATGGTCTAGCAGACACCCTCCCATAGAACCTGCTCCTCACCCCCAGCACTGACATTACAGACCCATCCCTACAGGGATCATATAATCAATCGCCCTACTCCAGCCTCCCACCCGGATCTCACCAGATGCCTGCGAGCCATGTCCATAAAGACCCTGGACGATAAATAGGCTGTCACCAAAGTCACCACCACCTCCCCCATCACAAGCCAGCCAGCACCCCCTGGCTGCCAGCAGAATCTAAAGACACCCAGAGACTCTCCCAAACTCCTGCAGATCTCCTTTAGCCCCTGAAGTATTAATTTTGTCCTCACCAAGACCATCCTGGCTCAACATGCCACCTCTCACAGCCCCTCAGAGACCTGAGACGGCAGAAACACTGGCCATTGGGGAGCTCTTCCTACAGACCACACCCCTGTCCTGAGCTCCGGACCTCACCTCCTGCTCTTAAGCCACTTTCATTCTTCTAAGCCTCCGTTTTCTCTTTAAATGGAGAGTGATAGGAACACCTGCCTCATTCTTAATCCGAGAAAAATGCTTAGTACAGTGCCTGGCACCTCCCAAGCCAGCGCAGTATGGTAGCTAGCTGTTGACTTTTACATTATCTCCCCTCGGCTGGCCTGCCTCCACCTCCAGCTCACCAGGTCCAAGTCTGATCTCATCCCTCTCATCCCCTCATCCCTGCCAGCTCCACCTCCAGGGCCAAGCCCTGCAGTCATCCTAGACCCCTCCTCCCTCAGTGGCCAGCCAGGCCCCAAATGCTGTCCATCTTTTCCCTTCCACATCCTGAATAGTTGTCAACTTGGTCTTTGATCTTCAAGCCCACTGCCATCCTCTCTCTACAGCCTCACCGAGGGTGTCCCTGGCTCCAGGCTGCCCTCTCCTGACCAGACGCCACGGAGGAGCCAGGGGTTCTTCCTAAAATGCAAGCCCGAGCCCCTCCCTCCCCTGTTACTTCCCCTGCCGCTGAGGGTAAATGCCAGCCCTCGGTCCACCCGGTCACCTCCACCTCCGCAGCCTCACTGCTCCTCTCTTCTCTCCACCCCCACCCCGCCTCTCACCCCGGCCTGGCCGCGGGAGTAGCCACCCTGTCACCTCCTCCAGGAATCCTTCCGGATCACCTCCATCCCCTTCCTCACCCCGCCTCCCGGCGCGGCCCAGCGCCCCGCACCCCCACCCCCACCCCCACCCCGTGCGCTCTCCCGGCGCGCAGGTACCCTCCGTGGACCAGGCCTCCAGCACCGGCCTCCCCCCGCCCCCTCCCCCCGGGCTCCGCCGCCAGCCGCACGGCCGGGGCCGGGTTGGTCCGTTCCCCGCGGTCCCCTCGGGCCTCCCCTCGTCCCCCTCCCCCCGGGCTCCGCCGCCCGCGACCACGCGGTGGAGGTCTGTTCAGTGGACGAATCAGGAGCCTGCGCGGACCTTGCAGAGGAGGCGGGAGCCCCGGGGGTGCTGAGGGGGGCCACTCCCCCCGGGCCCCGACTCCCGGGCTGAGAAGTAGCGACAACTCCGAACCCTTCGCCGGGCGGCCGGCCGCCTCCGCCCCTCCCCCTCCCCCCGCTCTTTGTCTCCCGGGCGCCCACCTCCCCGCCGCGCGCCCCCTGCATCGCCCCTTCCGGGGGACCCCGAGACCCCCACCGCCGCGACGCGACGCGCAACGGCCTGCCCGGCGGGGGAGGGGCCGCGTCCAGGGGGCCTGGCGGGCGGGGAGGTGGCTGGCTCTCTCTCTCTCTCTCTCTCTCTCTCTCTCTCTCTCCCCCCCTCTCCCTCCTCCCCCCCCCACACCGCACACACACACACGCACACACACTCACGCACACGCACGGAGCATCCTCCCATTAGGTCTCCCGGTCCAGCCCCGCCGGCGCCTCCTGCTCGCAGCAAACCCTCCCCAGCGCTCCCCACGCCCCCCCTCCGGCTTCGGGACCCTCCTCGCCGCCCCCACCCCACTCCTGGGATGGAGCGGACCGAGCCCGCCCGGAGCCCCCCGCGGCCGGGGTGACGGCCCCCGCCCGGAGCACCAGGGGCCCGGGGGTTCCTTAGGCGCCGGACGCTGAAGATGACCGATGCTGGAGGTGAGGGGCCGGCCCGGGCGGGCGGGGAAGCGGGCTGCGGGGGCCCCGAGGGGGGCTGGACGGAGTGAAGCGGCGGGCCTTTCTTCCCCGTCCCTGGGGGGCTGCGCGGAGCCGGGGAGCCGGGCTGCCAGGGGAGGGGACGGGGACAGGATGGTGTCCCTAATCCTCTCCCTCCAGCCCGCTGCCGGGATAAATTAATTTAAAAAACTGGCGTGGGAGGAGGGGGAGAGGGCTTAACTCTTTCTTGTCCAACGCCGCGAGGGGCTGATGGATTGGGAAGAAACTGTCCGAGAGGCTGTGATGGGGGAGTGGGGCCCTAGGGTGCAGTGGGTGCCTGCCCTCCACCTCTCCCCCAGCTCCAGCGGCGCCGGGGGGCGGGGGGGGGCACGCTTGCCGGACGCCCCCAGCCTGGGCCTATGGGCGAGGGGCTTGGCTTTCTCTGGCTGCCCAACTGCCTCCTCGCACCCCAGCCTCCTCTGCCGGCCATTCCTCCAGCCTTTCCCAGTTGCACTTCTCTCTCGGTCCGTTCTGCTCCTCCAGGGCGCCTTTCCTCCAGCTGCCCGGCCGGGGCCACCCCTCTCCACAGCCCCCCTTGGGCCTCCCTCGGGGCTGCCGGTTCCCTCTCACCTCCGCTCTCCCCAGCCCCGTTGTCTCCTCTCCTTCTTCCTTCTCTCTGGGGCTCTGTGGACTGACCCCCGCACCCCAACCGGTCTGTTCCTGCTACCCCTCTCTCTCCGGGCTGTGCCCCTTTCTTTCTCTTTCTCCTTCCCCTGGGTCCCAAGAAGCTTTGAGCTCACCTGGCTCCCAGAAAGGGGTCAAAGGTCATTGGAGCTCCTCTTCCGAGAATTGGAAGGAGCGCCCAGTAGAGTCAGAGCTCAGACTGTGAGCGGAGGGACAGGTTCATCTCTCCCTGTGGCAGTTACCTGGCTGAGTGTGTGTGTGCGTGTGTGTGTGTGTGTGTGTGTGTGTGTGTGTGCGTGTAGGAGTGTGATGGCTCAGCTTTGGAATGAGGGGGTTGAGTGGGAGAGGCCCGGTGACCCCCTGGATGTCCTGCTTCCAGAGTAAGGAGGGTCCCCCAGCCACAGGGAGTTCTGGGTGAAGGTGGGGAAGAAAGCAGTTTGTGCTGAATCAGAATGGATTGGGCGCAGGTGGGAGCTGGAAGCCCCGCCCTCCCCTGAGGGCACCTGACAGAGGACTCCTTTCCCCAGAGGGTCTCCACCTGGACTGGCCTTGAATAAAGAACACCCGGGCCCCTTGCTTTTCTCAGTGGTTAGAGCGGTGGGTTGGGGGTTCGATTCCCAGTCAAGGGCATGTACCTGGTTGCAGGTTCAATCCCTGGCCCAGTTGGTTGGGCTGCTGGAGGGGGAGGCAACCAATTGATGTCTCTCTCTCACATCGATATTTCTCTCTCTTTCCCCCTCCCTTCCACTCTCTCTAAAAATCAATGGGGAAAAATATCCTCACTACTCGGGCGAGGATTAAAAAAATTTGAAATCAATAAAAATGTTAAGAGCACATGGGATCTCCATGTCAGGTTGTCTAAGAGAGGAGTCACCACAGCTTCCCTCGGGGAGCCTCCATTCTTATCTTTTTTTAAATTTACTTTTTCTTTTTAAATCCTCACCCAAGGATATGCTTGTTTGTTTGCTATTGATTTGAGAGAGAGACAGACCAGTGTGAGAGAGAAACATCTGTCAGTTGTCTCCGGTACGTACCTGACCGGGGATCGAACCCTCAACCTGAGTATGTATCCTGACCCGGAATCCAACCCATGACCTTTCCTGTGTGGGACAGTGCTCCAGCCAACGCAGCCATACCGGCCAGGGCTCATTCTTACCTTCAGAGCGTCCCTAGTCTGGTGGGGAATACTGTCCCCGCTCCTCAGGGAGCTCCCATTCAGATGTGGGAGAGATATGACCCACTTAGAGAATCAATGAAATATGAAAAATTCCTCTTCCCAGTGCTTGGGTAAGGGTGGATTTAGAAGTTACATAGACACATGGGAGGACGGAGGGCTATCTAGGATGGCTTTCTGGAGGAGGTGGCAGCTGTGTGCTGGTCAGATGCAGCTTTGTGATGGAATGAGGAAATGTGGTTTATTCTTAGGGGCAGCCTCCCTGCCCCTCTGGCCCTTCAGGACAGGAAGAGGGGTCCTACAACTTCTTTGCTACTTGCACCCAGAGTTCAGGAGTGGCAGGAGGGTTCTTGGAGGGCCCATATACCTGGCCCCTTCTGATACCTCATTTCCTGTTTTCAGCCCCAAGCACCCATAGAGCCTGCTTCTCCCAGTTCTAGTCAGTATGGAGCGGCCCCCTTTCCTCTACCTTTCTCCCCTCGGCATCCTTTCCTTATGAGCATCTTCCAAAACTGCAGATCCTCGCCCAGGACAGGGCTGAGGGGCGGGAGACCCGGGTCAAGGTGGCGTTCTGCCAGTGATCTCCTGTATCTTGGTTTCCACACCCATAACGTGGGGATACTAAGAGTCCCAAGCCTGGCTAGCGCTCCGTGAGACGATGTCTCTGTAATAACGGGACAGCTGGGAAAGGCCCCAGGCACGTGACTTAGCTTTCTTACACCTACCACATGTCTGGTCTAACCCAGTGCCCTGCCCTTCTCATGCAGACCGGAGTGTTAGAAGTAACTGGAGCCCTAGCCAGTTTGGTTCAGTGGATAGAGCGTCGGCTTGTGGACTAAAGGGTCCCGGGTTTGATTCGGTCAAGGGCATGTACTTTGGTTGTAGGCTCCTCCCCAGCCCAGGCCCTGGTCGGGGCTCATGCAGGAGGCAACCAATGGATGTGTTTCTCTCACATCAATGTTTCTGTCTTTCCTTCTCTCTTCCATTCTCCCTAAAAATCAATGGAAAAATATCCTGGGGTGAGAATGAAAAAACAAACAAACAAAAAAGCAGTAACTGGAGATCATGGCCCTGGAATGCAGTGTGCCCTGCCCCTGAGCTTCCTCGCTCCCCCTTCATCCAGTATTCCCCTGCCCCTCTGACACCCAGGCCTTGGTGTCGGCTGCTGCGATCCTGTATCTGCTGGGAAGCCCCAATTGCTTCAGCTGCATATATCCTGCTTCCCCACCTGCCCTCCTTGCTTCCCACCAAAACCACAAAATCAGCCCCCCACCCATCTGCACTTCTTCCCAGAACATGCTCAATGCATCATAGAGAGTTGGCTGTCCACTGCCATGCTGTGAGTACTCCTCGTACCCTCTGGCATCTGTGAGTCTGTCTAGAACTGCGAGTTTGTCAAGAACAGTGGCTCTGCTGCTGATGGCGCCAGCTTCCTGAGTAGCTTGTGTTCAGGAAGGCAGGTGGTGAGCGCACCAATGATGGGGGTAGGGAGGTAGGACTGGGTGATGGATTGGAAGGCGGATGGGTGGATAGTATGAACTGATGGATGCAAAGATGGAGGGATGGATGGATGGATGGATGGATGGATGATGGGTGGATGGATGGAGCAATGGAGGGATGGATGGATGGATGATGGGTGGATGAATGTGTAGGGAGGGAGGGAGGTGGATGGAGGGAGGGATGGATGGATGATGGGTGGATGAATGTGTAAGTAGGGAGGGAGGGAGGGAGGTGGATGGATGGATGGAGGGAGGGAGGGATGATGGTTGGATGAGTGTGTAGGTAGGGAGGTAGGTAGATGGATGGTGGAAGAACCTGAGTTCTGGTCCTGATATTGCCATTAACTTGTTATGTGATCTTAGGCCATTCTCCCTGTTGCTTTATTTGTAAAATGAGTGGATTGGATTTAAGAATCTCCAAGATTTCTCCTAGATTTTCTGTTGGACAGTTTATGATGAGTAAAAGTTTTCTGGGAAAGCTAACGAAGGAAAGGCCTGAGAGAGTGAAGGGGGAAAGTACTGTGACCTCCACTGGGTGGAGGCACACGGCAAATCAGCTGGGACCATGACCACAGGACTCAGCCTGTGTCTACACCTTGGACCTGCTTCTGCCCCTGCCTTCTGTTCTGCCTCCTGCCCCACCCGCCACAATCCGGGCTACCGCTGTCGCTATCGTTCAGATAACTTCTCTTCCAGGGGCCTGAGGAAGAGTTCTGAGGGGAGGGGAGGGGCCAGAGGCCAGGAGCAGTTAGCCATTGCTGGCTCCCTGGCCTCCACCAACCTGAACCTCTTACCCATGGTCTTTCTCTGTCTGCCCCTTTGTTCTCCCCAGCTCTCTTGAGCCATGGCTTCTTCAAAGCTCCGAGAAGCCGCTGATGAGGTGTTTGGTAAGTTCTATTTGGCTTTATCTTTTGCCAGGGCCACCTGGCCCTTGGCGTGGGGTGGCAGGGAGGAGTCCCTTGGGGACTTTAGTGTGTGTGTGTGTGTGTGTGTGTGTGTGAAGTGTCTATGTTGTGGTCGTACAGCCTGATTCTTTGTCACACATCTGGACATGGCAATTACAACAGCAGCAATATTAATAAGGATCCTCTTTTAATAAGTGCTGTCTCATGCCAGGCACTAAGGCCAGCACCCCCATCTCCCACGCACGTCTCATTGAATCCTCACACTGATGCTAAGGAGTGTGTCCATTTTACAGACAAGGAGCTCGGGCACAGTGCTGGAGTGACTTGCTTTAAAGATCACGTGGTAGGTTCATGGCAGAGCTGGGACTCCAGGTTGCCAATTCCCTGCTCTCAGTCACGATGCGGTACACCTGTACCCGCCAGAACAGGTGACACACATCACTTTTAATTTGCATACACAAGCGACCTCACTCTGTATGGATGTACACAGAACTCAAATGCATAACACGCAGTCTCAGTACACACCGGGGTGCGTGCACACACCTGCCTGCACCGTCCTTTACCCGCTGCAACCTTTCTATTGTATGAATTGGGGATAGACAACCAGCAGGGCAGAGTTCCCAGCATACAGTGGGGTGGAAAGGCTGTTTCCCAGCTGGAATTGGTGCAGGAGTCAGTGAGCAAGGGAACATGGAGGAGAGGTGGAGACAGACGGAAGCGCCTGAAGCCTGTCGTGTGCAGCTTTCAGAACTCACATTGGTGTGCATGACCTTGAGGGGCTCCTGGGTGTGGAAGGCCACAGGGCCTCCCAGCTTCTCCTCCCCTGACTTCTCCACCTTCCTTCCCTTTCCTCTTCCCCCTCCCCTGCTCACCTCCTTCTCCCCTGCCCCTGCCACATGCCCTGGCCATGCCAGGAACTGCCGCCTCCCTGCTCCTGGGGGATGCCGCTTTCCACTCACTCTCCCTGGGAACTGTGGAGGGTTTGCCTCTAGGAGACACCCCTCCCCCCCCCCCCCCGCCCCCCATGAACTGCGGCTGGGCCTCAGACTCAGACTCAGAGCTGCTCCACCTCCACCCAGGCCTGGCCTGACCTCTGGCCTGACAGAGGCCCTTCTTCCTCCACACCCCTCTCCCACCCCAACCCTTCCTGTTTTCCTTCTCCCTGTCAGCCCTGCCTGCTTCCCCAAGGCAAAAGGCAATTAAATATTCAAGACTTCCCACTGCCCTGGGCCTGAGTAGCTCCCAGGGGGAGAGTGGGGAGGGAAGCATCTGGAGGGAAGGATGGAAGAAAGGGAGGGGCCGGGAGAGCCAGGGCTGGAGGAGGGACTGTCCTACCTTGCTCCCTAGATCCTCCAAGGTAAGATGACCATGGTCCTGTGGTCATGGCTCAGAGTCAGGAGCAAAGGGCCCTTTCCCTGGCCCTCCTCTTTCTGCCCATCCCTATGCATGTATGTGAGTGTGTGTAACACAGACACGTGCCAACAATATTTTGTTGTGGGAAACCAAACGTAGGGAGAATAGCACTGTGCACTCCATCATGTAACTCAGGGTGGCTGGTCACCAGCTGAGCCCTCGCACCCCCCAGAGTGGCAAGAACGCTGGCCTGGGAGCCCGGAGACCTGCATGCCATGACCTCTGCCCCTGGGTTAAACCTTTCCTCTCCCAGCCTCACCTTCCCCACCTGTAAAATGAGGGTTTGGACTCAGAAGTCACTCCCATCTAGGCCTCAGAGGAGGTACAGCCGACTTGTTAGTTACAAACCGAGCCTTGGGAGCCAGGCTGCCTGTAACCCGCAGGCTCTTCACCAGCCATATTCAGACTGCCTGGGGATTCCCGAAGTCTCTTCTCATAGGGCTGTGGGAGGTTTAAACGAGCTAGTAATTGTGAAGCACTTAGACCAGCCAGTGAGTATTAGCTGTTATTGTTCTGTCTTCAGTCCGCAGTCCTCACTGCTTCCAGTGTCAGGGGGCAGGGAACAGAGGGGAGCCTTCCCCAGCTCAGCCCTGGGCCTGCACTGCTGGCTGCACTGGCGCCTGCTGGTCGCCGGGCACTCCAAGCCCGAGACCATGCCATCCCCTCTTGTTCTTTCTGCAGCCTTGGCTCGGTATTGTCACCCACACCTCAGCCTGGCGACCTCATCTAGAACAGTGGCCCCAGTCACTGCCTGTCTTCCTCCTACATTTGACAAGTATTAGAGGTACTGCCGAACAAGCCAAAGTCACCGCCATCATGGAGCGTGAATTCTAGCCCAGGGCCGAGCAGGGGGGCGGGTAACAAAGCCCACACGACTAAACAGGGAGAGGGGAGAAGGTGCGGGGTGCTGTGCAGAGGATGGGACGTGGGCGGTGTTGGGCAGTGACCTCACCAGCACTTGCGTGGAACTGGGGTCCTTCTCTGCCCAGCTCTGCACCTGTCCGTGGAAGTGTGGCTTTACCTCGCTTGTCAAACGCCTACTGAGCACCTACCCTCGCCAGGCCCCACACCAGGCTCATAGGGTACCTGTGGACAGGCAAGGGTGTCACTTCTGCTGTGTAGACTGGCATGGGACACTCATGCCCAACCAGATCATAGTGGCTGTCCGGAATGGGGGGAGGCGACGAGGTGACATGTTGGAGTTGAGGGCCAAAGGGTGGTGAGTGATGGAGCAGAGAGAGCAGCGGGAGCACAGGGATGGAGGTGGGACAGGAAGGTAGAGGCTGGTGTCTGGGTATCAGTATAAGCGGTTCCATCCAGTGCCCACTGCAGCCAGTGCCTGTGAGCACTTACCACGTCACAGGTGATATGGGGAAGCACGTTACATGAATTCTCTTATGTGGTGCTCACGGCTCCGTAAGGAAGAGACTGCTGGTATGGCCCCATTTTACAGACGAGGAAGCAGTTAGCTAAACGTAAGTAACTTGTTCAGGGCCGACCAGCCAGCAAGTGGCAGGACTGGGTTCAACCCAGGCCATCTGGCCCCAGGGCTTCTGCTCTTAACCAAGGTGTGCCCATCCGAGCACGCTGTGCCGAGGAGGGAGTGAGGGCAGCTCAGCAGAGGGGGCGCTGGCCCCTCAGGACTTGAATGGAGGGCCGAGGGCATGGACTTGATGTTGGGAAGGCCACTCCCCACCCCTCACCCCTGACCCTCTGCCCGGGCTTTCAAAAGCAGGAGAGTATGAGACACAGTCAGAACTTGTAGAAAGTGGGAGGGGAGAGAGAAAAGAGCCTGCACACGTTAGGAGCAGGGAACTAAGAATGGAGGGTGCCGAGGCCATGCTCTGGGACAGTGGGGTAGGGTGAGGGTGGGTGGTGGAGGGGGAGGTGGCAGGTGGGCAGCTGGGGAAGGCCTGGTTTAAGGCAATCAGTCCTGTTGGAGAAAGAGGCCAGGTTCCAGGGGTGTGAGGAGGCAAACCTGTCCTTTCATTAATATAATCTTTTCTAACCACTACATACCAGGCACCATTCTGTGCCTGTGTTAGAGCAATGGACAAAATAGAAACATCTGTGCTGGTGGAGCTGCCCTTCTAAAGGGTGCAGAGACAGTAAATGAAATAAGTAAGATCTACAGTATTCTAGGGAATGATACACAACACAGGAAAAAATAGATATGTGAAAAATAGGTTCTGGGGGTATTTTAGATTAGAGGCCTGGTGCATGAAATTCATGCACTCAGGGGGAGTCCCTCAGCCTGGCCTGCACCCTCTCGCAGTTCAGGAGCCCTTGGGGATGTCCGAATGCTGGCTTAAGCGGGCCTAAGCTGGCAGTCAGACATCCTTAGCACTACTGCAGAGGAGGGAGAGTCTCCCGCCACCGCCGCTGCGTTCACCAGCTGTGAGCCGGGCTTCTCGCTGAGCGGTGCTCCCCCTGTGGGAGCACAGTGACCACCAGAGGGCAGCTCCTGTGTTGTCTGCCCCCTGGTGGTCAGTGTGCATCATAGCGACCGGTCATTCTGCCGTTGGTCTGTTTGCATATTAGCCTTTTATTATTGTAGATTATGTGGTCGGGGAAGTCCTCAGAGTATTTAAGCCAAGACCGGAAGGAGGTGAGAACCATGCAGAAATCGTGGCTAGAGCCTGCAGGACAGGAAGAGGAAGTGCAAAGGCCCCGAGGTGCAGGTTAGGCCAACATGAGGAAGAGCCAGGCAACCAGGACGGCTGGAGTGGGGAGAGGGAGAGAAGCAGAAGCTCAGAGAGGTGGCACAGACTGTCTCTCAGAGGGCAGACTCGGGGTGGAAGGCTCCTGGGAGACGCAGGTTCTTCCTCTGTGTGAGATGGAAGTCACAGAGGAGTGACAGGGGCTGACATGTTTTATCAGGATCACTCTGGCGGCGGTGTTGAAAATAGACTGTAAATGGGAAAAGGAGGAGGAGGGAATACCAGCTGGGAGGCGAGAGGAGATGATGACCTAGACAGGCTGTGAGGAGTTCTCTTTCGTCTCCCCTCCTCTACCGTACCCTCTCCTTCCTTCCCCTCCTCTCTCCTATCCTCTCTTTTTCTCCCCTACTCTTCTGTGGACTGTCTCTCCTCTTTCTCCCCATATGCATACATGCATGTGCGTGTGCGTAACACAGACACATACGAACACTATTTTATTGTGGGAACTCAAAAGCGGAGAGAATAGCACTGTGCTCTCCATCATGTGCACGTACTTGTCACTTGGCCGCAGCCATCGTCGGCGTGTGGATTAGCCTTGCTCCGTCTCTGTCCCTTTGCGCCCCACTCCTCTGCCCGGGATTATTTTGAACCTAATCCAAAACATCTTGTCATTTCACCATAAACATTTCAGTCCGTGTAGATATCTGCCAGAAGTGGAGCGAAGAGGAACTGGACGGATGGGTGGGTAGGGCGGGAGGGAGAAAGAGGACCCAGCGATGACTCCAGGGGTTTGCTCCGAGAAGCTGGAAGGATAAAGCTGCCATTTGCTGAGCTGGGCAGACTGGGAGGAGCAGCTTGGGGGTGGGGAGTCCAGTTCTGACATGCGCATTGAAGATGCCCATTGGCCATGCACGTGGAGATGTCAGGCAGCTGGACACATGAGTGACCACCTGGGTCTGAGGCTGAGGGTCAGGGCAGCAACCGGGTGAAGGAGGAGGCCTTTCACTGAGCCACGGGACAGAGAAACCAGTTTGAGGCCAGGTGGTGGGTGGGTTTTGATGGGTTGAGTATGAGGTGCCTGGTAGGTGCTGAGGTGCCCAGGTTTGGGATTCAGGGGCGGGGTCAGGGCTGGAAATAGACATGGGTGGTTGTTAAGCCAGGAGAGCCTCTGGGATGTCTGCAGACAAGAGAAAGAGGAGCAGACAGCACAGAACCGGCCTGGGGGATGGGATGGGATCCCTGAGCTCACAGGAGGTAGGGTGGGAAGAAAGGTCTAAATCAGCGGTTCTCAACCTGTGGGTCGCGACCCCTTTGGCAGTCGAACGACCGCCTAAGACCATCCTGCATATCAGATATTTACATGACGATTCATAACACTAGCAACATGACAGTGATGAAGTAGCAACGAAAATAATTTTATGGTTGGGGTCACAACATGAGGAACTGTATTTAAAGGGCCAGAAGGTTGAGAACCACTGGTCTAAATCCATCCTGAAGTCCTGGAAGAACCTTCTCTGCCTGGCGGCTCGGAGGTTGAGAGACACTGCAGAGCAAATGGAACTGGGAGCAGCAGGGCTTATGCATCACCCACTCGCTGGGTTTGCCAGCTCTTCCTCCACATCCTCGGCCAGGACCTGGCCCTGGGCACAGACCCCAGGACAGGCCCCCGGCCTCAGGGCGCTGAGTTTTCCTCCCTGCAGCTGCCACTGGGTTGTGTGTGTGGAGGGGGAGGGGGTGGGGAGCAGGGACCCCTCTGCTCCAGTTCCCCGGAGAGCCAGTGGCGCTCTCTCTGAGTGTGACCCTGAGCATGGCACAGCAAGCCGGTGTCCCCAGCGGGGCCAGCCTCTGGAGCCAGACTAGCCAGGTTCCGATCCCAGACCACTGCTAGCTGGTGGCTTCAGGCAGACCTTCCCTCTCTGAGCCTCAAGTTTGCTCAGCTCTAAAATGCGCAAAATAACTGCCCTAGCCTGGTGCAGTCGGCACTTCCTCAGTGATAGCCATTGCTACTGTGATCTCTCCAGTCTCATCCCCCAGCCCTTCCCTCCACAGACCTATACCTTCCAGCTGCCCGGCTGGTGCCCCCTTGGCCCCGCTGCCCTACTTCCCAGCATTGCATATACAAGTCTCGCCAACTTGGCATATGCAGATCTTAAAACCCAGCCCTGGCGTGTCCTCCTCTGACCCAGCCAGCCAGGGCGGTCCTGTCTCCCCCCCCACCCCCTCCTCCGCCTGTGAGGGTTCCACCACCCGGCTGTATCTATGTGCCAACGTGTCTGCTTCCCCGGAGACTGAGAGAGACCATTACCCATCTCATCTGCACTCCCAGTGCCTGGCACTCGGAAACATTCATTGAATGCCTGGGGCGTGAGTGCAGGTGGCCACTGGAGGTGGGCCTCTGGGCTTGCTGTCCTCATGCCTCTGGTCTCTGCCCCCTCCCCCCGGTTTGCAGACCTAGACTTGGCTGTGCCAGAGACCGTCAGACTGGACAGCAGTTTACACAAAGCCCGGGCCCAACTGCTGGCCAAAGGCCGTAGACACCGGCCTTCCCGCTCCAGGCTTCGGGACAGTGCCAGCTCTGCGGAGGATGGTGAAGGCTCCGATGGGCCCGGAGGCAAGGTTGGGGCCGCCCACCCAATCACACATACCCCACCCACTCTTCTTGCCCCTGGAGAGCCCCTCCACACCCTCTTCCAGGGAAGCCACACACCCAGGCTTCTGATCTAATAATGCTCACAAGCTGTAGCTACCTTCACATTTGGCTCATTTCATCCTTAAGGAAGATGAGAAAACGGAGGCTCAGAGGTTCCGTCACAAAGTCACACAGTAATGGAAGGAGGTGGGATTCAACCCCAGCCTATGTGACTGCCTGCCCCTGTTCCCCCCTCGCACTGCCCAGCCACCCCTCCGCCCGCATGGGGAGAACCCCCTCTAGGTCCCCCGAAAGACAGATGCCTCAGAGGCTCCCGTGCAGTTTACAGGGCGAGCCTGGCGCCCAGCCCCTCAGGGAAGCGGGGAGGAGGGATGGCGGTGAGCGGCTGCCCCTCCCGCAGGTGACCGACGGCTGCGGGAGCCCCCTGCACCGGCTGCGCTCGCCTTTGCACTCGGGCCCAGGGTCTCCGGCCGTGGGCTCCTTCTGCCTGGAGCCTCCGGGGTTGCGGCGCAGCCTGGATGAGGATGAGCCGCCACCCTCGCCGCTCACCCGCTACCGACCCCTGCACAACGCCGCATCGCACGAGGGCCTGGCCGCCGCCTCCTGCTCGCCGCCGCGCTCCGCGCCCTCCTCGGACAGCTCGCCCAGCTTCGTGCGCCGCCACCTGCGTGCGGAGCCGCACAGCGAAGGTGAGCGAGGCCCGCGCGGCGCCCCCTGCTGGTGCGCGCGGGGACCGCAGCGGCGCCGAAGCCCAGGGCTGGACCGGGTGCAGAGCGGCGGGGGTGGTGACGGTGGTTAACACCTCGTTTCACTCATCTGAGCGCCTACGACGGGACGCTCGGCGCACAAGCGAGCAAACATGCAGTTTCTCAGCCTCCGGGGGCTTGTAGTTTCCGGGAGGAACAATGAAATAGTTTCTTATAGTCCACCGGTTGGCGACCTGCTCCAAAGGTTTCCTTAAAGCAGCGGTCGCCACCTTTTCGGACCTCGCGGACCACCGGTTGGCGACCGCTGGTAGCGGGCAAGAGGAAAGCTGGGTCTTGGTTGGACACTGCTTCTCTGATGGAGAGACAGCGCCTGCAAGCCAAGCCAGGTCCTTATTTTATAGCCAGATTCCACTAGGTAAAGTAAGGGCGTGGTCAGGATGTTTACAATGTTTTCGAGGGTTTCGAATCCACTCAATTACACACACCTGATCAAGCTTTGTTTCCTTGCTGCACCTCCAGCAGCGCATATCACTCAGCCACGTAGGGCCACAGGTTCGGACCATAAGGTCAAGCTTACTAGGTTCAGCCATAGCCTTTGGCTGTAATTGTGCTGGGACTTACACGTGGCTTTGTCACGAGAGGATCGTGCCCTCTCACTAGTCCCAGGCTTGAACCTGTCCAAACGCTGTAGCCGCTCGCCACAAGGGAGCATATAAAAGGTGGCAGGACCTAGTTGGGAGCATCCTGGAAGGCTTCTCTGGGGAAGTGACATGTGGTGCAAGATTGGAAGGCTGGTTAGAAGTTGGCCAAGATAAAATTAACACGAAATAGTAGTGGTCCCTACCGTTTCAGAGTGGTTTATGGTTTGCATAAGGTTTTCATAAACATCCCATTAGGTCCCATGAAATATCCCCGTATTTGAGATGAAGGGAGCTCAGAGAGTTAGAGTGACTGTCCTGGGTCACACAGCCAGTGAGGGGCACCAGAGCCAGATGGCATGATTCTAAGTCGGGAGAATTTCCAGCACCTCACACCGGCAGCTGGAGGAGGCAGGTAGGCAACCACACGGGCTGTTTCCGTCCCTCTTCCCCAAAAGATGACAGTCGGGATGCCAGCCCACCTGAGCCTGCCAGTCCCACCATTGGCCTGGATAAGAAGACTCGCCGGAAGTTCCTGGACCTGGGGTGAGTGGAGGAGGGACCAGAGCCAAAGGCATGGAGCTGTTGGGGCGCAGGGTAGCACAGTGTGCAGCACTGGCCCACCCCCCTCTTCCCTCCCCGTAGGGTCACCTTACGCCGAGCATCTACTAGCAAGAGCCGGAAGGATAAGGGCAGCAACCGCCTGTCCATGGGCAGCAGGTAAGTGGTACCCACCACACCTCAGCCTCAGCTTCTACCCATAATTCCCTGTGGGCCCGGCCCTCTCCTTGGTGCCCACACCCAAGCAGGCTGCTCTCTCCACAGGGAGTCGGTGGAGGGGTCCAGCAGGTCAGCGGGCTCCCCGTTCCTGCCCTTTTCCTGGTTCACAGACAGTGGCAAGGGCTCGGCGTCCTCCGGCAGCACCACCTCCCCTGCCTGCTCCCCTAAACATGAGAGCTTCAGCCCTAAGAAGTCAGCTTCTCAGGTAAGTCCATGGCCTTCTTGCCCCCATACTGGCCCTAGGGCTCAGATGACATGAAAGCATACTCCACTCTGGCTCGGGCTGGGATCAGGCATTCCTAGAGTCCTTTAGTCCTCCATAAAGCCATTCGGTGGCTCACTCATTCATCCATCTCAGTTTGTGCATTCACTTGTTCACTTATTCATATTCTGATCAGTTAAGTTGTTGATTCATTCATTGCTTCATCAGTTCAGCACATCACTAAATACTCTAATTCCCCTAGCGTATACCCAGCCTGAGGTCTCCTCTATTCCTGCTAACTTTTCTGCCTGGCTCATACTAGCCCCATGTCCTCCCACAGGCCTCCCATCCTGGTGCCTCTCACGAGTCACCAAGTCATGTGGTGCCTGCCCAGCTCCTGGCTCATGCATAGGGTGCCTGGTGCTTCGTCCAGGACATCTCCATCCAGATGGGGGTGGGTGGTTTGCGGGGACTCCCTTGAGCTGGGGGCAAGCTTTCTGCTCAGCAGCATGCACGCCCTCCCGTCTAGGAATCCACCCTGAGTGATGACTCCACACCCCCCAGCAGCAGCCCCAAGATCCCGAGTGGTCCCCGGCAGGAGACCAAGTGCTCCTACCCCTACCACACGCTGTCCCAGTCTTCGGATGAGGTGAGCAGGCCCTGGCCTCTGACTCTGCCGGGTGTGCAGGCCCCAGGCCAGGTCTGCCCCCCTCACTCTCCTTGGTCTCCGCCCCAGTTCCTGGATGAACCTCTTCCCACGATCCACCACTGGACCAGTCAGCAGGTGGGCCAGTGGCTGCACAGCCTCAACCTGGAGCAGTATGCCGCTGAGTTTGCCGCCCGGCAGGTGGACGGGCCGCAGCTCCTGCAGCTGGATGGGAGCAAACTGAAGGTGGGTCAGCCTGAGGCCACCTTCAAGGATTGGGCTCCCCTACCCTGACCTTGTCACTCCTACTGCCCTAACCTCTGCCGTCTAGGCAGGGTCCCTGGCCCGATCTTTGTACTCTGAAAGTGACACTGAAACCCAGTTCTTTAGTTTGACCTTCAAGCTCCAGGCCTTGACCTTTAGGGCTTCATCTCATCTAACTCTTGACTCTGATGAGTCTCCTCGTATCGTGGGAAGCAGGCCTCTCCCCTGATCACCTTGTCCGATTCTCAGTGGAGGCGGGTGGTAATGGAGGGGGATCAGGAGGGGCCTGATGTCTGTGCTGGGAGGTTCTGGCCTGTTTCCACCCTCTGCCAAGTTGCTTGGGGAAGGAGTGGGGAGGAGAGCCCCCCGGGAAGTCTCGAGTGGGAAGGGGCCTCACCAACTGACCAGCTGTGTGACCTTGGGCAAGTTGCACCCCATCTCTGGGCATCAGGGTCATGGTCAGGCTGAAATTCTGAGTGGAGGAGTGGGAGCCAGGGATTATGGGAAGTGGAGGATGGTGGGGGCTGGGGTGCTGGTAAAGGGCCTGGTACTCCCCACCCTCTTCTCTACCAACTACTCCCGGTTCACATTCTTGCCCTGAGGGTTCTGATCCACTGGCAGGTCTGGGAGGTGGAGGCTGCACTTCAGAGAGGACAGGTGGAGCTCCGGGGAGGGCACACCTGGACACACAGAACCTGGGGGTGGTTCTGGGGCGCTGTCCCTCACTCTCAGCTCCTCCCCCAGAGCCTGGGGCTCAGCAGCTCGCATGACCGGGCACTGGTGAAGCGGAAGGTGAAGGAGCTGGCAGCGGCCGCTGAGAAGGAGCGCAAGGCCCAGGAGAAGGCTGCCCGGCAGCGCGAGAAGCTCCGGCGCCGGGAGCAGGAGGCCAAGAAGACCTAGAGGAGAGCGAGGCAGGCATGGCACCCAGGCACGGGCAGCCACCGCTCGGCGGGCACAGGCTCCCGGGGAAGTGGAGCCTGGGCGCCAAGCTTGGGCTGGCCCGGCCCCACGGCCTCAGGGGTACATGCCCTCTCTCATCTTGTCACTCTGTCTGGACCAAGATCCCCCCAGAAAGGGAGGCCCAGGGAGAGGGCCCAGTACTAAATCGCCTTCCAGGACTGGCTTGGCACAGAGTTCCTGGGGGAGGTTGCAGATCATGGGAAGAGGGCAGGGAGGCCAGGGCTGAAGGCAGCCTGGGAGCCCAGAGGTCCCTGGGTCAGTCTGACTCTCTGTCCTCAGGCCACCGTGGTGCTGGGGCCTGCAGTGAGCTGGCATGTCTACCTGCCTGCCTTTCAGAGGCCCTGCCATGGGGCCAGGTCCCAGGGCTGTCAGGTGGCTGAGCACCCGGGGAGGAGTGGGTGGGTGGAGTCGGTCCTCTCGGCTCTCCAAGGTGGCTGTGTGTGGGAGAGCCCTCTGCTCCCAGGGAGGCCGGTGGGCACTGCGGCCCGCTGCACTCAGGGTAGACTCCAGGCTCCTCCTCAATCGGAGAGCAGAGCAAGCGCATGGCTATCCGCGCCGTCTGTGCAGACTTCAGGCGACGGGAGGATAAAACCCTCCTTTTCTTCCCCTGCCCTGCGGCCCCAATGACGAAAGGACACCTTACAGTCCTCCCCTACCGGGGCCCAGCCAGACCTGTGTTTGCCCTGCTCTCTAAGGCAGGCCCACTCCTCCTCCGGCTGCCCTCAGAGGGCACCTGAGCCCTCCCTGCCCACAGAACAAACTCAGAGCTGGTGGGGACACAGGACGCCCCCTACCGATGCCTGTGTGGGACTGAACTGGCGAATCCTCACCTTAGCCAGGCAGAGGCAACTCTGGGTCCCCTGGAAACTGCTAGACTGGCAGGGTTTGTCAGCCCTCCCTCACCTGGAAGACAGTGCAGGCTCTGCCTACAAGGAGGGGCGGGGCCAGCCCCCACCCGTGGGGATGGAGTGTATCCCAGCAGCCCAGGGATGGCACCTGTCCTTGTCGGGAGGCGCACTCAGCCCGGCTTCTGGAGCACTGGCCAGTTCCCAGTGGGCTACGGGGCCTCTGACTAGAAGGGGCCCCGCCCTCCATCTGCCTGGAGTGGGGGACAGGACCCAGTGCATGCTGACTCCCTTCATTCCTGCCCGGGGCCTGTGGCTTGAGGGCCACCCCGTCCCTGGGACCCAGCCCTTTGCTGCTCTTTGCTAGAGGAGGGGCTTCAGAGGGAAACAGATACGGGGGCACTGGCACCACCTGGGCCCGGTGGAGGCTGGTGGGGAGGTTGGCGGGCACCCGGGTCCTGGAAACTATCGGGAGCTCTATGGGTGCCCACCTGCATGTGAAGGGGGGAGGCAGTACTCAATTTATTTCAATAAACACTTATGATGTGCCAGTGATCTCTGTCTTCCTGGCTGGGGGCTGGCCTGGGCTCTGTCCTTGTAACACCGAGTCATGCCCTGAGCTGTCCGAGCATCCTGAGCGTGTCATATGCTGGTCACGGGCTGCAGTCTGCACGCACTTGTCTTTTGTTTGTCCTGTGGCTCTCCCCCCACCCACCCCCGCCTCCCGCAGGAAAGCAGCCAGGCCGAATTCTCATTGCATCTCTTTACTGTGGATGTCCCTGCCACCATCACAGCCACTGGGAAGAGCACACAACTTTAACCCCCCGTGTGCTAAGGGGGAGAGTGGGGACACTCGGGGCTATAAAACTAGCTATGTACACAGAGTATTAGGGAGAACGCCACCCCAGGCATGCACATGTCTGGGCACAGTGGGAGCTGGGGTGGAGCTCAGGTGGGTGGTGTGGATGTGAGGCGGGCAGGTGGGTGTGTGCATGTTAGGACGTGCAGGGAAGGGCTTGGGAGGCGGCAGAAATACTGCTGGGGCCCCCTGCTTCAAGCAGCCGGCTGGGCGTGTACCTCAGGGTCCTCCCAGGTTCCTCCACTTTAGGGGTGAGGTCCTGGTAAGAACCCCTTCCCTCCTAACCTGGACCTGAAGCTCAGAGTGGAGGGTGAAGCTGCCAGGCCAGGTCCCGCCCAGGGGTCCAAGGGTGCAACCCCTTTCCCCACCCACCACCCAGATCTGGGGGACCCTTTCCTACTGCTGACACGGACCAGGGCTGGGGTGCCTGGGCAGACTAAGGGGAAAAGGCAAGCAGGGGCATCTGTTTGGAAGGCCAGGCTGTGGAGGGCGGTGAGGGGGACCCTGGCAAAAAAAATGGCAGCTCTGGTATCAGGACTGCTATGGGGACACCCCAGCAGGTGGAGACATCCCCCAATCCTCAGGGATCTCCCACAGAGATTGGACACTGGGGAGACCACCTCAGAATCGCCAGACAGACAGATTGGCACTTAAGGGTCACTATAGCCTGGTCACCGCCGTGACTTCCATAGAGACAGGAGCTGGTCATTGGGGAGTCTCCCCACCTGGGGGCAGGGGACGGGGAGGGCAGCCATGGTGGCCGGTCCCAGAGGCAGCAAGCAGTCCATCCTCTCAGGTGCAGAGGTGCCCTGGGCCCTAAGTGACACGGTACGTGGACGTGTTCTTGGGCTCCGTGCTGGGGACGCACCAGTCGCCGGCCTCCTGGATGGTCTGGTAGTGGCGCCAGGCTGACTTGTTGTAGACGGGCAGGCGCTCCACCGAGTCCGTGGACAGGGCCTGGGGGGCGTCAGGCTCAGCCTTGCCCACTGCCCCGCGCCTTGCCCACTGCTCAGCAGTCCACCCAGGCCCCAGGGTGGGCTGTGCTGGCCACTGACTGTATCAGCCCCGCCAAGTGCCAGACACGCTGAGACAACCCAGCCTGGCCCAGGGAGACCCTCAAGGGCCTGTCCCTCTGTGTCTTGCTCCTGCCCATTCGAGGAGGCTGCTCAGAGGGTCTGGGAGGGAGGCTGGCTGAGTGTTCTTGAAGAAGGTCACCAGCTCTGGGCCTCCACGTCCTCCTGAGCTGAATGACAAATTCTCTATGGCCCCCCGCCTTCCGTCTGGGTCTAACAAGTCAAGCGTCCCCAGAGCAGGGGTCTTAGTCACGGACCATGGACTCCCTGAAACTGCCTGCCAGGTTGGGAGCATCTGGGGCCTGGGAGCCTGTAGCTTTACTCTGATTCTGTCTGGAACTGGGCAAGGGCTGGAGGGATGGAAAAGGAATCTAAGAGCCGGCGGATCCTGCCGGACCCGCCCACCAGCAGGGACCCTCACCTTGAGATAGATGACGGCGTCCGTCCCAAAGCCCTCCATGGAGAAGAGCTGCAGGTCCCCCTGGAAGTACTTGGCATAGAGGCGGGAAATGGGGAGCCCGTACCCGAAGCCAGCCTGCAAGGGGACAGGACAGGAGTGTGATGAGGAGGCTGGTGCTACAGTGTCAGGTATACTGAGGGGTGCTGAGCTGGGGTCATGCAAGGGGTCCCCAGGACTCAGATGGGAGGGGACACAAGAAACAGGAGGCTCTGGGGCAAACAGGAGCTATGGGGTGACAAAGGTCAGTCTGCGGGGTGGGGAGCTGAGGCGGCATTGTGGGTGTGGGGGGCATTAGCAGGGCAAGGGGAGGAGCTAGGTCCTGGCAGCTGGGGGATCTGGACAGGTCCTGGGGCTCCTCTGAGTTCCAGTTTCCCAAACCCAGCTCTGCCTACTCCCCTGGGAATGGACAGGGAGGTGCTGAGTTGAACAAATGGTTAGTAACTTTGGGGGGAGAGACACGGGGGAGGGAGAACTGAGGAAGGGTGATGGACAGACCCACAGATAGGTAGGGAGGGGCAGGCTGGGCAGAGACAGGAGGAGCAGGGGCCCAGCCTCGGGAGAGGTGATGGACACCACACACAGCCACATGAGAAGGGGGAGACCCTGAGAGAGAAGGAAGCGAGAGAGGGAGGGTGACAGTTTGAGGAGAGAGGAAGAGGCAGGATCCTTTAGGGGCAGGAGGGGAGCTGGAACGAAGCCATCTCACCAATGGGGTGCCCCCCGTGCCAGGCTGGGGGGTGGGTGCTGTGGAGTACATGTAGCTGAAGAGTTGTTCAATCTTCCTCAAGGGGACACCCCCACCTCGGTCACTCATCTAGGGGAGATGAGACATGGGGGCTCTCCAGCCTGTTTTCCACACCCCTGTACCCCCTGACCCCCTCGATCTTCTCCTGGGTTTCCTCACCCCCAAGGTCTTCCCAAGCCCACCTCCTGGCAGGAGGGAAGTGCCTCCCACTTCCCCCCAAAGTCAAGGGTTACATACTTTGATGGACAGGTCTTCCTCTCCCAAGGCCACCATGACCTTGACAGGAGGGAGAACGAGGCTGGATTCATGGCTTTCCACGGTCGCTCGCATGGCATTCTGTGGAGGGAAAGAGGGAAGGACGAGTGAGAGCAGCCGGGCCCTAGCCGCCTCCAACCCCACAAAGTGCCACCCCAGCCGCCTCACCTTGAAGAGTTCAAAAAGCATGTGGTAGAGATGGGAGGGGACATAAACCATGTGAATTGGCTGTTTAGAGTCGGATGCTGCGGGGAAGTCAAGACCAATGATTAGGAAATGCATTCACCCAGCATCTAGCACCCAGCACTCAACCACCATCCATTAACCATCCATCTGCTGCTCAATTCACCAAGCATTCACTCATCCATCTACCCATTCACTCAGTGTCCATTCAACCATCTATCCATATAGTACCATCCATTACACAATGTCCACCGTCCATCGATCCATCCATCCTGTCCATTCAATATCCACTAATTCCTCTACCTACTCACCCACTGTCCATTCAGCCATCCAATGGTCCTTCAGTCTATGCATCTGTTCAAACATCTATCCTTTCCATCTATTCATTCATAGAGTATATCTCCACCCTTCCATTCACCCGTTTATCTATCCATCTATTCATCATTTAAGCATCATTTAGTATCCATCTCTCCTGTACCCAGCCTCCTAGCATTCACCTGGACACCAGAACCCCCTGCTTTCACCCTGGGGGGAGAGGGGAGGGTACTGCCCAGGTGATGCTGACATCAGTCCCGTTTCCCAAGAATCACTGTAGCCTGGAGTTTCGTGGTGTTAGGGACTAAGCATTTTCCCCTGGTGTCTGGCACAGAGATTTGTAGGTAGCAGGAGCTCAATAAATGTGCAATGGATCAAGGAATGAAGGGCTCTCAGGCCCTGTGCTGGACAGTGAGGACATAAAGAGAAATAAAATTCAGCCCTACCCTCTTAGAAATGCAAGTCTAGACCGAGAAACACACAACTGACTTTCACATCAGGTGTTGTACCCAGAGCTGTAAGCCAAGCCCCGGGCTGGATACCAAAGTGAAGTGGCCTGCCTCTGCCCTTAGGTCTTGGTCCCCAGGTAATTCAAACAGTGCGATACAGAGGTACACCAGGGACAGGCTGGTGCCCAGCTGGCTTCTCTGGGAGGCCTGGGAAGGCTTTCAGGGGAGCTGGACTTGAACTGGGCCTTAGTGAACATTAGGATATAGGCAGGTGACTGTCGGGTACAGGGCATGAAACACCTCAGATTTCTGGCACACGGGCAGGGCGTGGCTGAGGGGCAGTTGGGAGAGGGGTGGAGGTAGCTCCCAGGTCCCTGATCCTCCTCTCCCCTGTCCTGCCCGGCTCTCAACAAGCCCTGACACCACTATCTCCAAGATATTTATCAAACCCACCCCCTACTTCTCACCTCTGAGGCCTTCCCCTGCCCTTGCCTGGATTCCTGCAGCGACCTCTCAGCTGCTCTTCCAGCGTCCTCTCTGCCTCCTCTAAGTATCTTTGGAATGTAAGTTGTCAGATCCTGTCATCACCGGTGCTACAAACCCTCCAATGGCTCCTGCTGCACTCAAAAGCCCAGCTGCTGTCCGTGGCCCACGGGCCCGGCACGCCCCAGCCTCTCTCCAGCCCATCACCCCTGCGATCTCTGAGCCCCACCACACTGCTCCTTCTGGCCCTTGACTGCCCTGTCCCAAGCAGGACCCTGTCACTGTGCTCTGGAGCCATTCTTCCCTTCCTCGTTCACTAATAGATACCCCTCCCCCAGGGCTTTCACTGGCACATGGCTACCCAGCTAGAGACGAATTCTCTGTGTCCCTTGCGGGGCTGGGTAGCCAGGTGACTTAGGGAAGTGATGTGTTTGGGCCCTGCCTTCCCCGTCCCCTTCTCCAGGCTGGAGAGGGAAACCTCTTCCATAATTAAGCCCCTGTTATTTGGATTCTGGGAAGGCAGCCAGACTAACTAACAGCCCAGCTAATCCACCATTCTGCCCATCACCGTCACGTGACCCCATTGTGTTTCCTGCCAGTCCCTTCACATGATATGAAAGTGTCTTGTATACTGTTTGTTCATTGGACAAAGGCTTCATTCCTCAACCTCCCGGCACCAAGAATGGCAGCTCCATAAGCACAGGGACCTTGTCTGCTATGTTTA